CCTGCAAATCCTCATAAAAAGCATCAAGTTCATCAGCTGCTGATATTAGAGAATAGCAGTTGATGATGGTGATGGTACTCTGATGCAGAGGACGGAGCCGAAGAGCCACGCGAAGTGATAGGATCTCATGCGTACGACAAATCCAACACCTCCAGCTTCCCGTGATGGAACCTTTTCACCACGAATTACGAGTGTGCCATCACCAGCTGCCTCACGTCCCTCTTCCTGGACTTTGTTTTCTGCAAGGCGATTACGTGGTAGTTGATGCACTATGCGACTTTGAGAAAGGTTTATCGATCGGTTTGGTGGAGGCTGTCCTGGCGTTGTAGGTGCAGAGCATGAGACAGTCTCTAGCGCGAGTCGTCAACGTGTCTTTTTGGTCCGAAATCCATGGCGTCCTGCACAACTTGACACTGGTCTTGATGATCCGACGGCGTAAATGTGATTCAGCGTGCAGGGTTTTTTTCCTCTAACATGCTGTACGGGCAGTGGAGGACTTCTCTCCAAGCATTAGCTGAGCCTCGCCAGGGCTCTGCCAAGCTTTCACCACCGGCAATCGCTGACCTTATGTAGATCAGGGAGCCACATAGCGACTGAACCAGCCAGACGTTGATGCTTCTGGCATCCTAATCTTAGCTGGGCATCCGGGAACCGGAAACGTCGAACTCCTTCACAGCTTGGGAGACCCTGCTGGAGGATAGACTTCCGCTGTTCGCAGTTCGACGTCACTCCCGCGCCACGATGAAGCGTAGACCATCACGAGGAGTAGTAGTAACTTATAATATAATTATTCATGAAAATAAATAAAATAATGTAATAATAATCATCGCTATAAATAAAATAATGGTGCATGAATCGCTGTGGCAGGCGGTTATTGCGATGCATCGGCGATCATGCCGTCGCCATGGTCATAAGCTGAAGTTTGACAAGTAAACTGTTTGCGCAATTATCTTTGCTGTCCAGTTGTACTTCTGCTAGAAGTGCTATTACAGGTACAGGATTTTTTATGCTAAAAATCTTTCATCATTGAGTATTAACGCAAAATCTTTCTAGGAAATTTTTCGAAGATGCTATGCGCGAGCGTGATTCCATGCAACTCTTTGGCGCATACATGGGAGAGAAGAATGCTTGGCGGAGTAAATTTATTCCTTGGCTGCACAGTATGAATCTTGTTGATGAATCAGCATTGGCTGATATTCGGTTACTAGTTCATAAGGTGTAAGCAGTGAACTGATGTTTGTAACTCTTCGTTACCAAATTTGATGTTAACTATTGCAGAGCAAGATCATGTCGTCATCCAACCAAGCAGTACTGCTATGATAAGGACGGTGGTCGTTCGTATT